TCCTCTAATTGTCTAATATGTGAAACTGGGTTCATGCCCTTGTCTTCATCAAATAATGGTAATGCAAACTCCGTACTTCCTAAATTTCCTGTTGCCTTCACAGACTCCAAATTACTACTTCCTTTGTTTACATCTCCTCTCGCGTTTACTGCACTGCCATCAGTCACAACGCCAGTCCTTTCAACTGGGATTCGCATCTGGTTGCCTACCTTTAGTTTTAACTGAACAATTTCTTGTTCTAAACTTTTAAGTTCACTTTGTAGTTTTAACTGGTCAACATTAACATTTTGTTCCAATCTACTTTCCTGCTCCCTCAGTTGCCTGGAAACATTACTGGTGCTACTTTCCAGTTCCTTTTGAATCATGTCTATTGCTACTTTAACTGTCATGATTTCCCTGGCAGTCTCGACTTTGTTGTTTTCTACTATTCCCTGAATTTCCTTGACCTTCTGCCTTATTTGGACATTTTCTGTTTCCTGGTGAATAACCAACTGTTCCAACTTAGCATCCTGTTCTTTCCTTTCTTTTTCAAACTGTTGCTTTACTCCTATCATCTCTCGTTCTAACTTGCCTTGCCATTTCGTAACTTCTTGTTTTACTTAGTTAATTTCAACAGTAACCTTTCCAATCTCAGCAGCTAAATTTTTGGACAATTCTTTAACTGTTCTTCTGACCTTTGACATTCTAAAACTATTCTTTCCTCAGACTGCTTTACCTCTGTCCTAGTTCTTTCTTCCGCTTGCTTTGCCTCTGCCCTTTGTTGTTCTAGTTGCTGGAACAACTGCTGCATCATACTCATCATGGTTTGCAAGTCTGAACTGCTAACCTTTTCCCCCTGACCATTACTTCTTTCTGGGCTTGACCTTTCTGTTTCTAACATGTCTGAATTTAGGATTTCTTTACTTCCTATTCTTTCATCACTATCTTCACTAACATCTCCTACCCTCCCCCCTTCTATTTCAAGTGCTGGTATTAATTCTATCGCCTCTGGAGATTTTTCCCTAGATCCTAAGTCCATTTCATCGGACATCGTATCCACTGTATCGCAATGCACGTTGTGACATTATTACTATTGTTCACTACTCACAGTTCTCTTGAGTTTTACCACCTCCAGTGTTTTTTGAGTGTTGTCGTGAAGAAGTGCCAACGTTGATTAGAACTCGTGCCCCGCATTGGTCGCCACCTCTACTGCCGTCCCTCCTCTTCTGCTTTTGTGCCCGCTGCTCCGCCTGCTCCTTTCCTCCTCGTCGCTGCTATGGCTGCTCCTGCTTGCCGCTCCTTCCACCTTTACCCTTCTTTGTTATTTGGGTACTGAGGTAACCAGGTTGGATTTAGGATAATGGTAGGCATGGATCCCTATCTCAGGTCGATAACAGGTCTTTCTTCGGAGAAACTTTAACACGACTAACCTGTGGCTTTACCTTAGGTTTAATATACTCATTTTTGGTCACAATCACTATTTATGGCAGTTACATTTACACTGTTTCGCTTACAGAGGCGATTCTATAAAGAAACAAAGCAAGTGCCTCCACTCACTAGGAGGGTCTCTTATTATCTGTTGCCTACTACTGGCTCGGCGACGCTAACGGACCTACGGGCCTTCCCAGCACCACACCCTAGATGACATCATTCCCCACATCAATCTGGGGATCCACCACCCATTCTCCATCTGCAAAACTGCACATGTGAAATAATGCCGTGCTATTATCACATAGGCACCTCCCCTCCAGGGCCTCACACATTCAAGTCCACTAGTAAACGGTTACATATTCCATCATGTCATGTGGAATAATTTTCTGGGGAAATTCAGCAGACAGCAAAAAAGTGCTTTGTGTCCAAAAGAAAATCATTAGAATAATGGCAAACAATAAAGGATAGCATCACGAGGGAATTATTTAAGATATTCAGTATTCTTCTGCTAGCTAGCAAATTCTTACTCATAATTATTATCATTATCAGTAACCATCAGAAAGGAATTTACTTTTTACATTTACATTTACATTTTCATCAATCCAATCACCTCCCCAAAGCTAGTGATATAAAACATATCATACTGTGTTGGAATTCCGTTATTCAGAAATGTTTCTCTAACAATCAAACATCTGAATCATGATATAAAACTCCTGAAGTCAGTATTAAAAGAGTATCTCCTTCTCTTCTGTAAAAGAATTACCTTAATAAAGAATTGTTAGTTATAAAACTTTGTAAATAATAATGGGGTAGACAGTCAGGTGGATATTAGTGTTTCAGAGAAACATGTTATCACCATATTCAGTGTTGAATTGTTTAGGGTGGGGATGTTGCCAGGTTATATAGGCAGAGCTATTATGAATGTAGTTACTCTGAACTGAAGGAAGGGAAGAAGAAGGAGAAAAAGCCCTGTCTGGCCCAATAGGAATGATGCAACAGATGTTTGATAAACTTCCCATTTACATGAATGATGAGGTAAAAAGGATGGTATGATGAAGAAGAATTGTCAGTAAATGCAACTGGCTTGTCTGGCTGTTAGCTGGAGAAATCGGTGGTTTCTAAGTGCAGTGTCAAACTAAATCACTGCACCCTGCTTATTGACACCACGTTCTGACCAAGGAATGGAATGCATCAAGAAGGAAGCAATACAGATCAAGTTCCATCCTAACAACATGAACAGAGAGAACATACTCTTTTGAAGAAAGATCCCTTTAAGGAAAGGACAGTCTTGTCCTCCTGATATGAAAGGCAGTTTCTCACATGCCAACTTATACTGCAATATGCATATCTTGCCTGTTGTACAAGACACAATAGGCCATGAATGGAAATCAGTAGTCCGTTTTAAGTCTTTTGTTTTTCATTTCCTTGAATGAAGTGTTTACTGACTTTCCTCATCAAGATATGAAGCAGTAGAAGTTTGCAGGGTAGTGGTTGGGAATGATTAGGCAGTTGCTTCTTTTGTATGTTGCTTACTGATGTTTGTTGCTTCACAGGAAGCAAGAATAGAGATTCTTGCAGATTTTTATTTAAAAACGTAAAAATATTACCATTTCGCTGTACATACTCTCACTCCTGTTATTTGTGGTAGACAACAAAAGCACGTACAAATTAAATTCTGACATCCATAACATAAATATGAGACAAAAACTCGACTTCCACCAATATTCAGCAAATCTGTCTCTATATCAAAAAGGAGTTCACTCCTTCAACATCAAAGTGTGCAGTAGCCTGCCTCAAAGTGTAAAAAAAAAAAACTAGTGAAGTTGAGCAATTTAAAACAGCATTGAAATGTTACTTACTTACTCACCGCTTCTCTCCATACATGAATATTTCAATGTAAACAAACAGTAACTACTATCACTTCTAAGCTGAAGTGTATTCCCAGGCATGTTACTGTATCATTTACTTGTTTGCAGATTGTGTTGTGTATCCAATTAACAGACATTATGTACAAGGTGTGTCCCAAAAGTCATGAAATATATTTCTTTCCCACGCTCCTACTGGTCAGAGCACGCTGGAACCGGTTGGGTTGGGGGGGGAGGTCTTTAGCTTCACAGTGCGCCCAAGGTCAGTCTGCTCGAGCATCGGAGGCTTCAGTATCGCTGATTTAGTGCACCTGCGTTTTGTGACCATGTCACGGCGCGTGATGGCGGATACTTTCGAACAATGTTGGGCAGTCAAGTTCTGCACAAAGCTCAACAAAAAGCTGACGAAACTCACGAGCATTTGAGTACGACCCAGAAACGAAGCGCCAGAGTGCTGAATGTCACATCTCGGCTTCCCCGAAACCAAAGAAGGTGAAGATGAGCAAATCCAAAGTGAAAACAATGCTCATCGTCTTTTTCGACGCCAAGGGTGTAGTTCACAAAGACTTTTTACCCCAAGGACAGACCGTCAACGCTCCCTACTATGTGGATGTTCTAGAAAGATTTAAGGAAAGGGTCATCCGCCGCTAACTGGCGGCTGCATCATGACAATGCGCCCAGCCACACGTCTCTGCTTGTCCGTGAGTTCCTGGCAAAGCACCACGTGGCAACGCTGCCGCAGCCACCCTACAGCCCCGACCTAGTTCCGGTCGACTTCTTTTTGTTCCCGAGGATCAAGACTGCACTCAAAGGATGCCGTTTTGAAAGCATTCAGGCTATCCAAGCGGCCGTGACAACAGCTTTAAATGAGCTTCCCGTCGAGGCCTTTGAGGGGGCGTACCGGGCATGGGAGAGTCGGTGGAAAAAAATGTGTAGATGCTCATGGACAGTACTTTGAAGAATATTAACACTTTGTACCGATATCATCAATAAATTTAAAAAATATATATATTTCATGACTTTTGGGACACACCTTGTATTTCTGCTTGACTTTGTTTCATATCCTATTGTGGCAACCTGTACTTGGATTTATGGAACATAAATAAATTCAAATTCGAATACTGTACTGTATTGTGATGAGTATGCACAGTGGGAGGTAGAAAAAAAGAAATACATTTTCCTTGAAGTATGTTGTCTTAAGGAGTAATGCTTCTGACTTGTACATATTTTGAAAGTGTCTGGTTGGAAAACTTGACTATCCTGGCTGAGATTGTTCATGGTTTTATTCCTTCTGTCTGCCCAGCTAAAAGCTGGGGTAGTACCTCTGGGTAGGCCATGCCTCAAGATTCTTGGGATCAGCCGTCACACAGACTGTATTAGAAACTCATTCCATGATATATGTTTTCACTATGAAATGGTCACCATCAAGTGTAAACACACAAACATATTAAAAATCCACACTGTAGTGTGAAAAATATGTACAAATTAATACTGGTGCATGAGTTAAGGTGTGACTGTAGGGCTAAAATTTTTACATGAGTTATGTATATTAGTAAAAATTGTTGATGATGTGGGTTCTCATAAAAGTTTTGATTGGATATGACATAATCCATAGTTATTTTATGCCAGTTATATTGCTTATGTATTTTGATATTGTTTACCTTTATGTTATATATATTATGTTATATATATATATATATGTTATTATATTATGTTTGTTTTTAAAACTGCAAGCAAGATATTGGGCCTTCCTGTTTGGTAACTTGCAGAGGGCTGTGGATGAAATCTATCAGACATGTGAAACAGATGAAAGTGTTTCAGAGTGTAAGGTTAGTTGTGTGTGCTTTCAAGTTTCAAGTTGCTTATTTCATGATGCTGACAATACTGAAACTGTAGCAATGATGGTAGGTTGATCAATGTCTTTGGAGCAGTTGGTGATATGAGAATTAGCAAGGAAAGCTCTGGAACTTCAGGATATTTGGGCTAATGCCACTTGATCCACCATATAGCCCACATGACTTTACCTGGCATTGAACCTTAACTGCCATGGTGGGAAGCTGGTGTCTAACCTCCTGAGATATGATGTGTCCTCTTTTTTTGTAAACATAATAGATGCATTCTTGAGAGAACTTGTTAAATTATTTGTGCTCACATGCCAATGTAAGGGGCATAGTGTATGGGTTGGTTGACTAGGTTTTGATTGTTTGGATATTTATCTGTATGCTAAAAATACACCTTTTTTGGTGCAGTGCTTACACAAGGATAACTTAGTCTTTCTCCCCCCTTTAATCCTTTCTCTAGGATAGTATTGATTCTCACGGTAGGAGATAATTTGGAAATTCCTGTACACTGAATGATTTGCGTACAGATTGGAAATATATGAGTTTACACCATAAGAAGCCACATGAAGAAGCTGATAAGAATGCAGGTCTAAATGTTATTTACAGAGTTCTGTACAGTAATGAAATACAGAGATTTTATAGTGTTTTGTTTTACATTATTCGTACAGGAGGTGATCCTGGTGCTTGAAAATTACACTCGTGATTTTCACAATCTTATTGAATGGTTCAGGCTGAAATGGGAATATGAGAACACTCCTCCACCACAGCGACCAACATCACTGGCATGGGAAGTTCGAAAGCCATCTCCAGGGAAGGTAAGAAGTCAGCTGAAAATTCCTGTAAACAGAAATCTTCCATTTTATTACTTAACGATGTTCTAAATAGCTCAGTGGCATTGATTCTTTATTGAGCAGTTTGTAGTCTCAAATTTCAACAACTGATCTTTGGGAGCCAGAAGCACTGCAGGGTAAGAGGTGATTAAAATGATTTACAGCTTCAGAACTGCAGGACCATCCCTTGTTGGTTCTGTGTCACAGCTTTAACTTAGCTGCAGCTGCCCCCTATAGCAGAGGGCCCTTTCCTTCATCTACAGACTGTGGATGTGCAATGCCATTGTTATAGCAACCAGTTTAATGTGAACTTATTCATATACAGGAGTGGAATTTGGCCCTTGGATTGCAGAGATGTTGGGATCTCGGTGGTGGAAAGGTGGTATGATGTGTCATGTTGAAAGAAAACCATTCAAACATCAAATGCTATTATGTAGCAAATTTTCCTTGGCGTGGAATTTTGGTATGATTACAATTGGGATTTTTGTTACATAATCATTTCTTATTTTAAATAGGTCATAATATGGAAATAAATATGTTGGTTTCATGCAGTTAGAGTATTTATATGTGAAGTATACGTTGCAGGACTCAATATACGTGGTCTGACAGTGAAGTTTGTGAACTCACAACTGTGCTTGCCATGGCAGCAGTGGACAGAAACCTCAGTATGGTTTTTTGATGTTGGCATATCAGGGTTTCACATATATGTTGTTGATATATGACAGTTCTTGCATTAGACTTTGACACTCCAGTCTCTTGAGCTAGACATTTTAGTGATTTTCTAAGTGTATGTTCAAGTCTGTTCCCTATGTCATCTACCTTCTCCTCAGTAAACCCTTGGTGCTGATGATTTTGTTTCTTGTCTGTTAAGAGTCCCGTTGTTCTAAGTATATTCACCAAATTGTGAATTATTTGTCTGCTGGGAACTCTTTCATCATGAAGTTTACGTTGAAATTTTATCTTACAGTTTCTAGTAGATCCATATTTTACATAGGTGTCATACAGAAATACATGTTGCTGTAAAGTATATCACACCATGATGTACCACACTCACCACTGCTCACTAACTGTAACTGAGAGTACGTGGCTAATGGAGCTGATAACTGCTTGCCTGCTGCATACTGCTGACAGATCATAAACAAATTCCCATGCATGATCTGCACTGCTTGCCTTGAAACATAATGTTTTTAAGCAGTTCACAAGTTAATTACTTCCCTTCATTCCAGCCATTACCAGCCATCAGGCATGCTGATTCATTGGCAAAATTTGTATGTGCCTCATAGCAAGCGACATACTGGTCGCTGTGAAGTGTAGAGCTGTGAGCCAATCAACAAAGTTACAAAAAAAAAAAAACTCTCTGTCCTTATTATGAAGTTGCCCTTTTGTTGACTTGCATTCTACAGAAAATTATCTCAAAAGTTGCATTTTTTTCTTCAGATTTCTGTTATTGTACATCATTTCAGGACCCTAGATTAATTGTGTTAGTGTTGTTCCCTTCTCACAAGTGAGTGTGCAGACCATGGTGTTATTACTCATTGTAGGAAATTAAAAGTATGATGTTTGAGCATAGTGTTTATATCACGGTTCATCAAAATTGGTTGACTGGTTAAACAGCTGATAGGAGGGGCAGGTATACAGACATACACACAGGCAGCTTTGTGAGCTCATGAGCATTCTTTTCTCCATTAAGGAATGAAGGTAGGCTGAAAGCAGACATTTTACAAAAAGCCTACTCTTGATTAATCCTGTGCAAATTATTTGTACCTGTTTTTATCTTTCATATATCATTCTGCATTGTATTTATTGAAGATTTTTAAAATGTACATTTCCATAGAGGCAGATAGGTGCTTGAGAACCAGGCTGTTGTCTGTTCCTTTTTTTTTTGTGTGTTTTTTATTCATCTCTTATATGATGTCTTTCATATTCTGTGAAGTCCTAGGAAGAAATGTAATGAATGGGAGAGTTGGAGTTAATTGCTATCATATTAAAATTATAATTTTGAGTGAGTTAGTAATTCATGATATAGCTAGATTGAAAATACTGGAATATGTGATTGTCTTTTTTTTTAATTATCATGTATGTATGCAGATTTTGTACAGAAGTTGTTTTCTGTATCTTTAATTACTTACACTGTTATTATGAACAGCTGAAGAAGGCACAGGTTGTGAGACAGTTAGTTTAGGTGTGGCCCAAGCTTTGTATTACATTTTGTTATGTTACATGGAGAGGTGAATTCGTTGTGATGTTTTATGGCTATCTATTTCAGATCCGTCCTGTGACAAACATGGAGACTGTAACTGTTGAAAGTCATACTGGTACAAATGTAAATAGAGGAGATACACCAACTTTAACTGTACAAAATGTTAACATGCAGAAAAGAGATTACATTTCATTACGGCCATACAATGGTGCAAATAGTAATGGAGCAATGATAACTGATGTTGATGTTGGAAACAATACTAGCAGTAGTGATAGTGTAGGTATAAGTAACACAGTGCCTCTTAATGATGGAAATGAGACTAAAATACATGATCAGACTGTTCTTAATTTACAAGGATCAAACAGTCTAACAGAGGTTACAGACAATACCGTGCAGAATGTAAATAATGATATAAATAAGAGGCTTGCAGTTATAGGTAATATGGAGGTAAGTGAACAGCAACCAGAATGTGGTACTACTTTTACTGTAGGTAATGTAATTTTAGACTCAAATGATCCAGGGTGTAGGAAAGACGTGTGTGGTGTGAGGGAACTGAATTTTGAGAATAAAACAGAGGATGGTGTACATGATGGAGAAATGGCTGCTAACATTCAAGTGAGAAATAGTACAATTTATGGAATTGATACAACTACAATTAAAGAAGGAAGTGAAAATAATTATGCAAATAAAGACTTTGAGAAGGTTGATGAGGGTAATGAATCAGAGAAGCCAAGGAAGCCATGTTGTGATATCGTTAGAGATATTTCTGATGAGGATAAGAGAGATAATAATGATGTGGGAAGTGGAAAAATTGATGAAGTTAAATTGCATGATGTTCCTGTAATGATCCATCAGGCCTCTCAGACAGATTTAGAAGAATGTGTTGAGGATGCTGATGGCTTGAGATTCCTCTCAATCCCACAAAAACCAATGGATACGACTCCTGCAGTTGTTAGCAAGCCTACACAAGTAATTAATGTTGTAAGTAAAACAGCTGCTTTAGGCAAGTCACCAGTAGCTCCACTGCGTGCTGGAGTCCGCACATCTCTTGCACCTGTTGTGAGACCTCAGCCTTCTGTGAGACCAGCTTATGCAACTGTTTCAAGGCTTAGTAGTCCAGCCAGTACTAGGAATCATGCATTGTCACATGCGAATCTAACAACTCCCAGACCCTACAGCAGTCCTCGGCTTGTTCAGAGTCGCACTTCCACAGATGTCAGACCTGCTGGAAAGGGAACTGCATTAAGAAAGTTGCCAGTGGAGCCAACTGCAGGAGCCTTGAAGTCACAGAGACCAACATCACTAATAAGACAGGTAAGGAACTGTAATTGTTTGTACCTTTATGCAGAGTATGCGCAAAGTAGCATTATAGTATTGAGGGTATGTACATAACCATGTTTGAATGTGTATAAGTTGTTTCCACCTGTACATCACACCCCTGTTTTGTGAAAGATAATTTGGTACTTGTTTCCCCGTTTGTGAAATGACTGGAGCATGAAGGTGACCAGTCACCTACTTTTTTCCTTTTCATTGTCCAAAATATATGCTTATGTTCAAGCCAGAAGGTTGCGGGTTCAAGTCCTGATGAGGTCATTAGATTTTTTTCAGTTGACCTAATCCTTCCAGCCGCATTATGGCCCTGGTGTTCACTCAGCCTCTAACATAAGTGAGTACCAGGAATTAATTAAATAATTTTCTGGGGAGTAAAGTGCGGCTGGCGTGTAAGGTTGAGAACCTTACTGCCATCTTTGAGCTGATTGTCTAGATAATGTGGGACCCTCAACATCTCACAACTCTATGGGCCTTCATGGCCTCATACAAGGATAGCTTCACTTGTTTACTTTTACCTCCATTTCATGGTGTTTGGGCAGAGGGACAACTTTGCATGCCTTATGTAATGTGAAATGCAGTTTATTAATCGTCATAGGTGTAACTCCCCAGAAAGGAAAGGATCTGTTCTGTGATAAAGAGGTTAGGGTATAGGTAGATCTCAATTTATGTGAGAGTTGTACTCCAAAAAGTTCCAGACTTTGAGATCACATAAATATAACATTAGCTAGGAAAAATTTTCCTTTCTCTCTTCTGATTCCTCCTCTGCCACTTTTGTAATTTTTTACTTCCCCTTCTCCCCACTTGTGTCAATCAGCAAGAAAGCAGTTCACATTAAAATGAGCACTGTTAATTGAAAGTTTCTTTGTTTTTCTTTATGGTATCTCTGTTATGTCCCAGTAGATTCACATCATCAACATAGACCCACAGGTGATGTGTCCCATTTAACTCCAGTCTCACCTGGTTTTCCTGGACTTTCTTAATGGCACATTCTAAAGCAAAATTGAAAAGTAGTGACAATAAAGCAGCTCCTTGCTTTAGACCCTTTTGGATAGGAAAATTATTGGACAAATGTTTACGTATACAGACTTTTACTATACATTTTATTTAAACACATTTTAACCAGCCTAACTAATTTCATGGATAATCAGAACTCTATGAGAATATTGTACAGTACCTCCCTCCTAACTGAATCATTGGCTTTCTTGAAGTCTATGAATAGCTGATGTACTGTCTCTTTGTACTGCCCTTTTTCTCCAGTATCAGATGAATGCAAAAGATCTGATCACTAGTTTGTCTGTCACATTGAAACTCACACTGATGATCCCCAGTAATTTCATCTATATACAGACTTAAGCTTGAGAGAAGGATATTGGATAAAATTTTGTATGAAGTTGATAGCAGTGATATCCCACAATAATTACCACAGTCAGTTTTATTGCCCTTCTTCTGAATTTGTATAATAATAGACTCCTATTGATAGACAGTTCTCTGTTATTAAAAATAGAATTAATGAGTTTATGGATCTCAGACCCTATGTTTCACCTTCTGCCCAAATCAGTTCTGCTGGAATTTGATCACTACACGTATCTCGCGATTTATGCCCTTTTTCCAATTGGCAATAGCAATTTCAGGTTCAAAAGGACTAGAATCAGGTACTAATGGCTGAGCTATATGTATTTCTATCTGCATAATATCACTGACCCTATGTACATCAATAACAGAGTAGTACTTCCACCTATTGAATTGAATTGAATTTATTTTAATTCTATAAATCCTAAGTAGGTTAGTACCTTTGGATACAGAACAAGTCAAAAGGTTACATA